TTCAAGACTATAATAGCTTTAATGATACATTTTTATCTTGAGTTGCATTAGATAGATGTTAAGACAACGTTTTTCAATGATGGCATTGATGAAACCGTTTATATGGTGCAGTCTAAAAACTTTGTATCGGGTAGTGTAAAGCAAATGGTTTGTAAACTGAAGAAATTCATTTATGGGCTTAAGGAGGCTTCTTATCAATTGTATTATAAATTCCATTAGACTATTATCTCGTTCAGTTTTGAGATGAATATAATGGATGATTGTGTATACCATAAGTTCAATATAAATAAATATATATTTCTGGTTTTATATGTCGATGACATTCTATTTGCCAGTAACGATATAGATTTATTGCATAAAATCAATAGATTTCTAACAAAGAATTTTGAAATGAAAGATCTTGGAAACACTTTTTTTTGTATTAGAGATCCAAATATACCGGGATTGCTCTCGAGACATTCTTGAATTATCATAGAAGAGTTATATCAAAAAAGTTTTTAAGAGATTTGACATGCAGGACTGCAAATTAGGTGACACTCCTATATCTAAAGAAAATAAGTTTACTCTTAATCAATGCCTCAAGAACAAATTTGAGTCTAAAAAAATGCAAAAGATTCCTTGTTCTTCAATTGTAGAGAGTCTTATGTATACTCAAGTTTGTTCGTGTCTGAATATTGTCCACATTGTTGAGATACTAGGGAGATATTTGTATAATACAGGTATAAATCATTGGAAAGCAATCAAACGCGTTATACAATATCTACAAAGAACGAAGGACTTCATGCTCATATACAGGAAATGAGGCCGATTGGAGATCATTGGTTATTCTGATTCTGATTTTACTAACTGTTAATACAGTAAGAAATCCACATTAGGCTATATCTACTTGTTTGCTAGGGAAGCTATTACCTGAAAAAAGTGCTAAGCAAACATTCATAGCATTTTCCACCATGGTAGCAAAGTTTATAGCATGTTATAACGAGTCCAATTATAGAATATGACTGCGAAATTTTATCACTGGGTTACGCGTTATAGATGGAATTGAAAGACCATTAAAGATATTTTGTGACAATAAGTCTGCAATTATGTATTCTAATGACAATAAGAGTTCAACAAAATCACAACATATAGATATCAAGTTCCGAATTGTTAAAAAGATAGTTCAGAATAACAAATATCAATAGAGCACATCAGGATGAACTATATGATTGTGGATCCGCTCAGATTACCACTAAAAGTCTTTCATGAGCACATTACTCATATGGGTGTTGTATCTCTTGAGGATGTATAGTTTCAGCAAGAGTTTTGTATTATAATTGTTTTTATGATACAGACATGTCATGAATTTTATATTTTGGATAAGGTTTAAGTATTTGGTAGTTAATTTCAGATATATTAATTTGGTTTATTTTTATATTTTATCTCTGAATTGTAACACCCAACATTTATTTTTTTATTATTTTTTTATAAATATAATTATTTATTAATTGAATTGAATTTATTTTATTTTATTTTAATCTGATTTAATGAAAATAATAATAATAATAATAATAAGGGTGAAAAATTAGTTAAGAATTTAATTGAAAATAATTTTGAGAAAAAATGGTGAAAATTTGAATTTTGTGGGTATTTTTGAAAAAAAAATCGGAAACTGGAGGTCAAAATGCAATTTAGAAAAATTGCACCATGTCAGATGCTCGGTCAGCAGCTCCAACCAACCAGAACGCGCCAAGTGGCAAAGGCGCTGACGCGGGAGGCCACGCGAGGGGAAGCCACGTGGGCGATCTGCGTGCGCGCGATCGAATGGCTGAGATTCGATCCTGCGCGCACAGACAACCCAAATTGAATCACGCATAGACGGTTCAGATTGAATCACGGACGGACGGTCCAGATTGAATCATGATGAACGATCCAAATTCACTCACTATTTAATCGCAATCGAAAGGTCCAAATCAAAAGCGATGGACGGTTCATATTAAAAGCGGATGGGTATAAATAATCTCATACGCACCTAAACCCTAACCCTAGCCGCCAGAGCCCCTCGCCGGAGAAGATAACCCAGCCGCCAAGGAGCCGACTGCCGCATCGAAGCAATTTTCGACCGCCAAACGAGATAAAAATTTCTCCTCTTACATGAAATTCAATTTTAAACCCACACATAGCTAAATTGGAGTGAAAAAATGGGCCAATTGGCTGGAAAATACCGCCGAGCTTCGGCGGCGTCGCCGCGGGGTGTTTCGAAAAATGCCTCCGATGAGGCTCTTTTCGACTCCCGTTCGATGTGATTTTTTCACCGTTGTGATCACCGTTTCCTTCTTTACAGTTTGACCGGAGCAAAACATCCAACCGCAACGTGAGCCAGAGAAGCCGCCGAACCGGAGAGCCCCACCGCCGGTGAGTTTCGGTTTTCTACATTTCTTCGGCCAACCGAGGGCCCTAAGTGTGTTTTCTCGTAGGAATCGATGCAAGTTTGGCTGAATTCGGCCGAAAACAACCAACTTGAGGTGGGTCGCTGCCGTGGGCGGCGGCGCCGTCGCCAAAGCACGGCAGAGCCGCCGTGCCTGATTCCTGAAATTGGCCAAGTAGGCCTTAGGACTGATTTTTGGGTTTATTTGAGACATTTGTAGATACCGTAAATGCATTTCAATTCCCGAATGAAAATTCAAGAAACCCAAGGACCGCCCGTAGGCGCTGTAACCATTTAGCTTTCGGCATCGAATCAGGTAAGAACCCATCACCCTATTCCCTATAATAGATGTAAAGTTTGAATAAATAATAATACGGTCTTTTGTACAAGTTAGATAGATATGTATAATTAATTATGGATTGCTAATGGAGCCCGAACCGGACATTATTCTCTGTCGATTCCTATTTGATTTATTTTATAGTTTAAATGCATTATGGTGTCTAGTTTATTAATTATATGGTTTTAAATACATGTATCATTGCTTACTTGACCACTGTTGATTTTGGGATTTAAATATGATTGTATTACTGGATGCATGTTTATTGTTTATGTGATTGTGTTTGACTTGGTAACAGAGACTAAGGAAAAATAGGAAAGGGGTGTGATCTAATAAAAAGATAAGATGACAGCCTCAGTAGATATCCTGGGAGATGGTGGATTGACTGGATTCATAAGGACTCTACCGTGAACGTTGTCTCATACCGGATGGGGTATAGAGACTTGGTCATTTGGTGCTCATACCGGACGGAGTATGGGGACGGACCGCTTCACCCTCATACCAGACGAGGGTATTGAGACTTAATGTCTTAGCGCTCATACCGGATGGGGTATGGGGACGGCCATGAAATTAAAATTGTTAAGAGAAATGGTTCACGTGTAGCAGGGACACCCCTATAGATCCCCATGGATACTAGTAGACTGGTGAAATAAGAAATGGTAATGATTAGTTATTGTTAATGAATATGAATTTATGATATGTTGTATGTTATTGATTGTGCATGAAGTTATGACCTGTATGATATTATTGTCTTTATAGGTTGTTTTCACATATTCCCCAATGGTAAGAAAAATGATAAATAATTTTACTTTTAATGAATGTATTGGTTTGAATTTACTGCTCCATTGGTTGTTTTGATTTTCTATCAACCTTTGTTTCTGTGCCGGTGATATAGTGTGATATCCTTACTGAACTAGTGTAGTTTACTCCTTATTTAACCATTTCAGATCAGGAGGACCTGGTTCCCGAGCTCGATCCGTAAGAAGGCTGCGAGTAGATGCTAGATAGTTTATAGTTTCTTTTATTTTTTCCATTTCTCGTATTTCTTCAGAGAATTTATTCCGTGATATTTGTTTAGTACTTTTAAGTTATCGTGTAAGGGATGTTAACCTTAACTTTTTATTTCACTTCCGCACTCAAATTATTATATGTATTTCCTTTTAAATTTCCAGGGCCGTTGTATGAATTTTCTTAAAGTTGATGTCATTAAAATTAAGGCCTGACCAGTTAGAAATAAACATGTTTGGATCACATAACATGTAATTTTTGTGTTGCACATCCATGTTTGATCCATGTCATTCGGTTATATTGATATACGTGATCATTGATGGGTTTAGCTATGACGCTCATAACAAAAACTGTTTTGATTCTATCTTGATATGATTAATGAATAGGATTGTTTAGGAATGCATTCAGGTATTGATAGCAAAATTCTGAGTACTCATAAAATTGTTTAATGCACAATTATAAGGTGACACATAAAGGACAAATGAGAGATTGTTACGTTTTTTAATCGGTTGTATGGGCTTAATGTCATATTTATCGTGCATAAAAAGTTATCGATTTTATTGGGTCCGTTTAAAAGTGATCAGTTACAGATACTGGACTTTAATGCATTTGGTAAAATATGAGTTTTTTTATGTATTGAGACCAATTTTTTTTCTAACTAATTTTTTTTCTAATTTTATGATAGGTTAAATCAAAAATAACAAAATTTAACAATATAAAAAAACAATTATGATCCTCAAATCGATATCCTAGCAATAAAAAAAAAGAGTGTGAAAGATTACGTATCGATTTGAAAGATCTACCGTACTATGACACAAATTTCTTCTACTATGAATTCAGGTACGCTTTCTATTATAAATATAATTCTTTTAATTCAATATAAGTATGATTATTTTATTTTAGATTTAGATTGTTTTAAAATCCTACATTGTCGCCTCAACTAACAGTGAAGTTTATGATAGAAAAAGTCCAACTCAAAATAATTAACTATTCTTTTAATTATTCTCGTTAATTAAAAAATTCTAGTCAATGGTATAGATCATATGCAATACCCATCTTAGTTAATATATACACGGAAATTAGTTGGAAATAGACTCACACGGGCAAAGAAATGTTTTTAGTGAAACACACTAGCAAAGAACTGTGTATATATACATATATATATGTATATATTATATGCACACACATATACACGTATATATATTTATATTATATGTGTAGAGAGTAGAGTATGAGTATCGGACCAACCTCGATGAAGCCAAGTTTTTCCAGGTCGAACTGTTTCATTATCCGTGCTGTATATTTCTCTGGCTCTTCCTCTAATCCGGATAGGTCGTTTGCTGATGCACTTAACCTGATGATCTAGTTACCACATAAACCTCCATTAACTTGAAAACGTACATATAATACCAAGTAATATAATATCTTATTAAAAGTATGAACTTTAAATTCAATTCAAAAAGAAAACATGAACTATATCTCACTGAACAACTACCATAATTACATTTCTATAGTAAATGACAAATTAAAAGAAAAAACTACAAATTTCTTAGTCAATTTTCACAACAAAAATGGAAAATAAGGATAATATCTGTGTAAGTAGATGAAAGGAAAAGAAGCTTGTGAAGATGTTCTACGTCAAAGAACAAGCAAAATTGATCATTTTGTAAATAAGTTAACCAAATCATCGCCTAACGTTGATTATCATTACAAGAAATGAATACCCTGTTTCTGTATGTGTTGATTCATTGCCTACTCTCTCTCTCTCTCTCTCTCTCTCTCTCTCTCTCTACATATATATATGTATATGCTAAAATCTAAAGTAACCTTCCATATCAAAATATTCATAATTTTTCTTGAAATTTTGTTTGAAAATTCTTAAAATTTCCTTTCTCATCTATTAATTTTCTGTAACGCTGGGCTAACATAGCACGTCAACACACACATGGGCACTAAGTTAGTATTTTCTACATTATAATATTATTAAATTATTAATTAATTAATTTTAATTCTAATTATTCTTCTGCTTCACTGAAGCAGACGCACCAAGCGAATGGAACAAATATAGCAAGCGACTGAAGGAATTTAAGGAAAATGTCCTCCCTCTTAGAGCCGAGAGAAAAAAAAAAAATGAGAGAAAGAAATAGAGAGATCATTGGAGTTTTGCTGAAATCTGGGCAGAAAGAAAAAATTAGGCCATAAAAGCAAGCTTATAAAAGGCTTTCTAGGTCAAAAATCAGAAGATTTAAGAAGGATTTCCGTGTTCTTGAAGGGAAACCAAACCAAAGAAGAAATAAGGGATTTCTGGTGCGTTCGTGAAGGGAAAAGCTCAGTATCCACTTGCTTCCAAGGCTGTAGTTGTGTCCCTTCCGGATTACACGATACCCAGCGAAGAAAGTGATGATGCGATTAGCAGTACTTGGTAGCATGAACACAAAAATGGAGTATCTGTCGGATCTCCAGGAATACTTGCAGCAGACTCCTCGAGGAGGAAGAAGCCCAGCCATGAGCACGTGGGTTGCGTTGGTTGACGGGAAGCAGATGCAATAACAGAGCCAGAGCACGTGGGTTGCGTTGCCCTCGAAAGAATTGGAATTAATTAATTACTTCAAATTAATTTAACAATATTTTTAAAACGCTGAAATTGGTGTATACGGGGAGGGTTTGTCATGTTAGTACTGCGCATCTTTGAAAGAATTTCAAAGATGTGACACCCGCAAATTCAAAATTGATATATACATAAATATATATATGTAACTTCACATGTTATGTGCTACATCATCATCCCCAAACAGAATTAAAGAATTACGATTTATATCTTATTCATTTTTCTAATAACAGAAAAGATTTTTTTAGTATTAAAAAATAGCAAATGATTGATTGAGTAATGGCCTATTGACAACATTTTTTTTTTTTAAAAAAAACTATTTCATCCAATTACGATAGCCTCCTAACTGGGAAAAAATAAAGCTTCAAAAATTAGATTAATATTTTACCTCTTTGATTTCCTCCTCCATGATTCTTCCGTCTTCGTTTTTGTCGACCCTACAGAACTAGTACTAGATTAGGTAGTAAACTTCATATGACCATAGAAAAGATATTGGCACTAATATCAACTTTTTTAAAAAAAAAAAATTAGGTATATATTCTCAATAATTAATAATCATTTATTTAATTAAAAAAAATTAATAAAATAAAAGAGCTTAATAAGTAGTTTTGTCCTCTTCACACCACCTCACTCTTCTTACAACGGACGCCAATTATGGATTTTCCATATACATCTACTTAATTAATTCAAAAGTTCTATTAAAAGTTTGTTAAATTAACCACTAATTTAATAAACTAATTAAACCTAATTAAATAAAGTTAAGAGTAAACTTGAGAATTAATTATACATACATGTCGAAGAAGATCCGTAGGCGAGAATCAAAGCTTTGATCGGTGATTTGACACCAATACTCGTAAACCTCCTCTCTGCTAATCTTTTCTACTTTCAATCCCCTTCTCCTGGTCAGGGCATCGAACAGCACCACTGCGAACTCTTTCACATCTCTCGTTCCTTCAATAACATCTTTTTTAAAAAGGAAAAAGTTAGCAAATGCAGTTTTACATGTTTGTTTCTGAAAACAACTGTGCGAAATTAATCAAAATTTTGAATATTATAGAAAAATGAAATTAACCTATGCATTCAGCGAAATCAGAGCGATGAAGGTAACCGTCTCCAGCAAGCTTATCGAGATTTTCTTGCACTTCGACCCATAAATCGACGCCGTTGTTCAGGTTGCTGATGAATCGCAAGCCACGAAGCGCTTTCTCGGCGCCGAAGGAAGTCCGATCAAACTTAGCCCTCGCCGGCGATGAAGTAGCCGGGAAAGCCCTAGCCACCTCGCCGTGGCTCCGAGGAAAGCGTCGGAGCTCGGTATTGCTGATTGTAACCGGGTCGACGCTGCGGAGGGCGACAATATCATCGTCTTGGATATCAACGATGACATCGACAAACTCGTCAGCGGAGTTAGATTCGTTGCCGGGAGACGTCCCCATGGATGAAATCATGTGGATATAGATGCAGAGAGAGAGAGATCTAGTATTGTGCTTCGCTCAAATTTCTTTTCCTTCTTTTTTTTTTTTCTTTTAAAAAGGAATTGGAATAACAAAAGATTTAGAGAGGACAAAACATCCTTCATTGACGCGCGCCTCAGAAGCAACCCACATAATTTAGCAATCTCATGGGCATCACTGTTAACCTCTCTAGGGAATCTATTTCCAACCAAGCTCCTATATTAGAGAGATATACTTGATGGATGCGCCAGTCAAGGAAGCTTTCAATGCGCTTCCAAGGGCTCAGTACCCAAAGTTGAAGGAGAGTAGATCTCAGCACCCAAAAGTCATAAATTATAAAATTCATATTACCAATAATATTCAAGAAAAAATGTCACTAGAAAGTCCATCAAACTCAACCCTTTCCACCGTTTCCACTCTTTCATAGTAATTGCCAACAACACCATCACTCCAACACCAGTGACTGTTGATTTGGGAGCAAGAGGTCCAACCAAATTGCCCCAAATATAAATGTAGCGATCCCAAAAATTTAAAAGAAAATATATAATAATTTAAGTACGAAAGTGAAATAAAATGTTAAGATTTATATCCCTTACATAATAAATTAAAAATACTGAATAATATTACGAAATGAATTCTCTAAAAGAAATACGAAAAATAAGAAAAATAATAAAAAATAAAAAGTATTTATTATTTACTCTCAATCTTCTTGCGGATCGGACACTGGAACCAGATTCTCTTGATCTAAAATAGTTAAACAAATAATGAACTACACTATTCCACTAAGAATATCACACTATATCACCGGCACAGAAGTAAATATTAGTATAAAATTAAGACAACTAATGGAGCATTGAATTTAGTAAATTCATTTATCAATCATAAAATTATTTACCGTTCACTTACCATATTGGAATTTATGAAAATAACCTTTAAAGATAATAATATCATACAGATCATAACTTCATGAACAATCAGTAACATACAACATATCATAAATTCATATACATTGACAATAAATTAAATCATAACCGTTTCTCATTTCACCAGCCTACTAGTATTCATAGGGATGTCCACTCTACACGTGAACCTTTTCCCTTAACAATCTCAATTATAGGGTCGTCCCCATACTCCATTCACTATGAGCTCCAAAGACATTAAACCTCAATACTCCATCCAGTATGAAGGTGAAACGGGCCATCCCCATACCATGTCCGGTATGAGTGTCAAATTACCAAGTCTCCATACTCAGTCCGGTATGAGACAACATTCACGGTAGGGTTCCCTATGTACCCGGCCCGTCCACCATCTCCCAAGATATCTAATAAAGTTGTCATTCAATCTGTTTATTTGATCACACCCCTTTCCTATTTTCTTTTAGTCTCCATTACCAAAACAAACATAATCACATAAACAAATAAACATGCATCCGGTAATGCAATCATATCCAAAATTTCAAATCAAACAGTAGTAAGGTAAGGCAGTAATACATGCATTTAAATAATAAATTAGATAATATCATGCTTTTAGACTGTAAAATAAATCAACAGAGAACAATGTTCGGTTTGGACTCCATTAGCAATCCGTAATTAGTTATGCACATCTATTTAATTCGTACAAAATACCATATTATTATTTATTTAAACTTTAATTCTATGATAGGGAATAGGATGAGGGGTCCTTACTCGATTTGACACAGAAGAACTAAATAGTCTACTGTGCTTACGGGCGGTCCCTAGGTTCCCTGAATTTTTCTCCGATAACTAAAACGCGCTTATAGTACCTACAAATGTTCTAAATAAATCCAAAATCAGTCCCAGGACTCACTCAGCCCAATTTTAAAAATCTGGCATGG